TATGGAAGAGATGGAAAATGATCTTTTTTCATTGCTTGCTTTAGCTAAGATCATATTTTGCTTCTCAAGATGCTAGCTAATTATTTGCAATTTGCTTCAGGATCTGTATTAATAGTGCACTTTAGTAAACAGTCTAAATCACAATCAAAACTCAAAATGGCTTTTAAAAGCTATTGAACAAAATATAAATGAAATAGATAATGCCATTAAAAGTTGAGAGAAGCATCAAATGATTTATTTCTTTGACTGTGTTCATCATGTCAAGTATTTATTTGATTCTACATACTTCCACTAATCACACAAAACTGATTAGCAGTAGTGCAAGCTCTCCTCACTCTGTACATAGAAGAAAATGAAATATAAAAAATAAGAAAAGAGGATCACTCAAAATTTTCCAATTTTTCGAGCTTCAAAAAATTAAGATTCTATTAACTTTTTATCACTGCTGTATTTCTTTTATAAAGACTATGAGGAGGAAGCCTTACCTAACGAAGTTTATTATGTTTCTTACTATCTAGTGGCATTTGCAAAAATGTGAGATCATTACCAAATCAGAGTACTTCTTTTCTTCATGTTCACTACATCCAAAGTGCTCTTGTTCATACTCCAAAATAACTGAATTTCCATACCTGACTAATAGCTCCTGTCTGAGCTTCCATTTCTAGTTTCTTCTTCACGAAGCAGCAAATCTTGGACACAAAATTCTAAAAATAACGCACTGGGGAATAACTAAAATCAACACAAGTGCTGAGTGAAAACTGGACATTAACATTCTCACTAAATCCCTCAAGGTAAAGATTAAACCATTTGCTCTTGGGACTTTTCTCATACAGTTTAGCATGTCCTTCAGGAAGACTTTTGATTGTGGGGATCAAATTTTCTGGCGAAAAATAATGTCAAAAACAAGCTTTATTGGAGCACTGTTTGTGTGTGAGAGATAGTGTGCACAGAAGTAAGTGTATGTTCCCTGGCTTGAGAGCAAAGTAACAGTCCAAAATCTCTGTAACTCAAGCAACACTGAATTTCCCAACGTTCAAATAAGAAAGGACTGTCATTTTGGAGGATGAGAATTGTACATCATCCTGTTTGGGGACCTGCCACAAGGTGTTAATAAAAGTATTGTGATGTTCCCACTAACATACTAAACATACTTAATTTTCAGAAAAAAAAATTCAGATGCTGAAGTTTCCTTGCACTGTGGAAAGCCAGTAAAGTCAGTGTTCTTACACCACTTTAAATGGTTTTGTCCCTTCCTAAGTGAGTGCTGGCTTTGCTATTGGAAGTTTTCCAGAGCATGCTGCATTAGCATTTAATGTCCTGGTAGTTGAGACAACTTCATAACAGCAGATTGGGGGTTTTGTTTGCTTCATAGTTTCTGTTTGTTTGTTTGTCTTGTACTGTCTATAGGCTCATTCTGGCTTATTGCAACACAGAGAAAATGTCTGACAGATAAAAGTTCCCACATTACAAAATAAACTTAGAGAAGCAGCCTATGCATTTATAAGAAATTCCAAGGTCTGAACAGGTCTGTTCTCTCAAAAAAGTGTTAATTTCTCCAGAAAAGTGTTAATTAAAAATAAAAATAAGATGCACAGTACCTTTAAGCGAGAGAGCTTAGAGGAGATTCATCTGACAGAAGTCTTCTGCTGCACTGAAGTACTTCTTAAAAAAGCACTTAAATGAAATACTTCCATTGTCATTTATCAAAATTCTTTCACTCCACTCAGAGTTTTACGCTCTTTTTCTCTTTGTGAAGTTTTACTATCTGATTGCTTAAGTGTACATTGTAAGTATGCTGGAAATCAAGGTTTCAGAGTAGCACAGATCGGCTTACTATTGTAAGTACCATTGTAACAATGCACATTTTCACAAGCAGGGATGTCAGAACGCTGGAAAAAGAAAAAGCAACTGGAACTTCCAAGAAAAGCAAGGATACCTAGACTGGCACATGAGAGTGGAACAGGCACAAAAAAGAGGGCATAGCAGAAGAGTATCTCCTTTTGCCACATGTCAAGATTGTCCAGAGGATACGACTTTCTAGATACACATTCTCCTGGGTATATACCACAGCAATGGGAAACACAGCTGCTCTACCACACCTACTGCTTACAGAGTCTGAGAAGCAGGCATGTTTAAATAATCCATGTCACAATCACAGACTTTCACCAAGGTGAAATCAACGCCAACGCAAAACATCCTCCTGTAAAAACTACTATTTGAAACCAGATGATTCATTTTACATACTTATTCTTTAATTTTTTGTGCTTTGTAAACCATATGCTTACTGATTAGACATATCAGATTTAAAAATTGCATATAAGTTGCGATATAAAACTTTTAAATAATGTAGAAATTGGTTAAGCATGCCTTAACAGAAAAAAAGATCTGAAAGTATATTTTTCTTTCTTAGCTTCAGAGAGATGGCCTCTATGTGTGGCCTCTCTTTCGCTTCTGAATTCACTGCTCTGCTTCAATTTTGAACTATATTCTAAAGGCTTTGTTGACTATATATAGGAGAAAACTCAAGGTCACTTGATGCCTGAGCTGAGTAGAACTGTGTAAGGACAGCTGAATATTAAGAGTGAAAATCATTTAGATACAAAGGACTAATGAAAGATCATTAGGGTGCTGTATACCCTTTTGCATTTAATGCAAACCAGTGAAAACAATTTAATATCTAACCTAAGCACAGTCCATTCAAATAAGCTTACGTGGATTAAGGCACCTTTGCTTAAACTTTAGTTCTAACTGCAAGGCAACCATCTTGGCTAAAACACTGCCAGAGTGCCTGGGCCTCAAAAAACTAACCTTTCTCACAGCATTTGATGTGGGATAATTATCTAAAATTACTTAACTGCCTACACAGCATTGTTCACACATTGGAACATCGAGAAAGTTTCCAGGACAGTGTGTAGCTAGTGCATCAAGAGTTCTCCCCACACATAGTTTCCAAAACAAACTTAAGGGTAGGTAGCATTAAGGTAGCTTGATTCTGACTCTTAAGAGAAAATCCCATGGAGCATGGAACGTTGTGGAGATACCGTTGTCAAACTCTGTGAACACAAAGAAACCCGGAGACATCAAGGAGATAGTTAACTGTACATTTACTATCCTGGGCGAAGAACCTGTCATCTTTTGAGAGATGCTGTCCTTCAGGTAAACTATGCTCATTATAATCTCATTATAATAGCAAAACCCCCCTGCCTCCGAAGTGCGACCACCCCTCCCAGAGCTCGTGCATTGAATTTTTCTAGTCTATACCTTTAAACATGACGCAAGGAAAATTTACACCAATCACAATAGGTATGACTAGAGTCACTCGAGCTCCACCTGAAAGGTAACAAACAATATAAAATGGCCCAAGAGAGAGGGAACTTTAAGGAAGTTACCATAATCATCAGGGAAGATACCACCATGAACCACCTCTGACTTCTGGGATCAGTCGACGGGCTGAGCCTCTCTTTTCCCCCATAGGGACACCTTTGGGTAAGATCTGAACCCTTGGTTTCACCAAGTGCTGCCTCAAGGATACTTAGGAAATCTTTATAGAGCTGCTTATAATCTATTACACCTCTAACTTTTGCACATGCTTTGCAGTCAGTCTCTATCATCAGTCATCAAAATGAATTTGTGTATCTGTTGCTTCAATAATTATATTTGATCCCGATCTGGCCATGTGAGTCTCTGTTGACACTTTATCCACAGAGTTTGGCCGCTGCCAGATCGAAGGTGTACGGGCATGTTGTGTTAGTAATGATGAACTGGGCATCACTCAGAACCTAAGCCTAGCCACCTCCAGCCCCTCTGACACCTGAGGACAAGCTGGAACACAAGGGGGCTTAGTTTCTGCCAAACTGATTTGCCCCTTCATTCATGGAGTTCGGCTGTGTGACTTTTTGCAACAGCAATTGTTGCCTCTTCTTCTAATGCAACAGGTTAGTATTTCTCAGGAAGACACACATACCGCAGTAAACTTGACTACTATAAAACGTAAAGCAATTGCATTTAAAAAACAGTCTGTGAAATAAGGTTTACATGAGCTTTACATGTCGCTATACTTCACCTACGGAATATTCTATGATGACCACAGTGACAGAGTTACCTGAAGAAGGAATGATTTCTTGAGTAGATACCACTTCTCTGGTAAGAGTCATATTTGCTTTTGATGGCCACACAGTATTTCGTAGCAGTAATTTTACTACAAGCATTTTTCTTTTAGAGGCATACATATCATTAGTCTTTATACTGAATTTCAGGGTAAACAATAACTGTGTTCTTCGTTTTAAGATATAGTCTTGGCCTACCTCCCATTCTCCTCTCTGAAAAATTGCATGACCATCTATGATCTTTAATACTGCTCTGGTTTACATGGTTTGAAGAAGGAAATCATGGTTGTATAATTAGCACATGGCTGGCCCAGTCCTAAGCCTTGACAAGAAGATGTAATATTTCTGTTAGATTGGTAGACAAAATATTTACCTATTAAAGACTAATATTTTAAATAGTAATAATCAATTTGTTACTCAAAGGAAAACATCTATGTTAGAATAAATAACGAACGCAAACCTCTTTTAAAACATAAATGGTTCTTAACTGTGAAGTTAACTCAAAATGTCATTACCGAGAAGTTAGGAAATCCTGAAGTGACAGGGTTTCTCATTCAGAAGATCTGAATGTTTAGTTTTCTTTTAATCACATTGATTAAATTTTACTGTATTTTTTCCCACTTCAAATTTATTTATTACATCACAAAACAATAAGAAGGCCAAGAGAATATATACCCAACAAGGACATATTTTTTATAGGAAAACAATTATTTAGTTGAATTAGAAAAACTACGTATAGGAACAAATCATAAATCATTGTTCGCAGGACACCTGACTCTAGAAACTACCATGTTAAACTGGAATTAAGACACTGCATCAAAAAAAAAGTCAGAATTATTTATAAAAGCAAGCCAAACTTTGCAAAACGTAGCATACTTAGTTTTAAACACCTACTTGATTCTGCAGCCACCATTCTCGTCTTCTTTGTTTTCTTCTCAAGCTTTTTAATTTGTTTCTTTCCCTCTTATTCAGCTTTTGATTGAAGGAAACACTCACAGGCTGCACAAGATCGACAGGTGTGATGCGTTGTTCCTCTTCTGCACCACTTGTAGGTGAAGAAAGGTTCATCACAAAAGGTGACCCATCAGCAATGGTACTCCCAGAAGATCGTCCAGTAGCTTCAAATTCACCTTCTGTTTCTCTGTGTAGTAACGTGGTAAAGGAAGCAACTTGAAACCTATTTTGCAGCTTGTCAGCACTGGAACTATACTGGTCCTGAAAAGAATCACCATTCTTCCTACTGGACTCTAACTGAAAGCCACTTTGTGTGTAAACAGGCGAATTTTCATTTTGGCCATGGTAAATTTTTCCCATGCTGCAAGTTTCATATAACGCAGGTGACAAAACAAGTGTCTCTCTGATATTTAAATCCAAACTACGTGATCTTCTGCGAAAAGATTTTACAGTGCATACATCATTCACAGAATAGGAAGCAGAAAGATTTCTTTTTTGATTTAATGCCTTTAAGGGAAGTCTTTTACTTTTCATCGCAAATCTGGGAGCTTTTACTTCCAGAAAAAGTGCTTCTGTTAATCTTCCAGTACCATTATTATTTCTGGCCATCTATGAAAGCCCTTGATTTCCAATTTCCAAAGCTGTAGTTATCACTTCATGGCAGGCATCCTTGCTAAAACCAGACTGAATTTTGAGGAGAGGTAAGTGTTTTTCTGATGATTTTGCCAAATTAACAGAGAAAGCTGGCTGTCAGTCCGACTTTTGCAGAAACGTGTATTTACTATGTGTCCATCGGAACATTTTGTGTTGCAAAGTTAAAACCCACTAAGCAAGCCTCACAGAACGGACAGTACAGTTTTCCAATTGTCCACTGTGCCTATCGACAAGAAAAGAAAAAAATCCAACGTATTTGTTGTAAATTGATGATTAAGAAATCATTACTAGAGTTACTTTTCTCCTTTAAGAAAAAGGTTTACCTTTTCATTTGGCATACAGTAAGAGAGAATTCACAGCAGAAAGAAAAACCAGCATAAATAATGTTCTGGTCAGAACTCTTGCTTGCTGCAGTGATAACTAATTCTAGGAAATCTAGAACACATATTTCAAAATGTAGGAGCTTTGAAACATGTTTAAAATTTGTCCATAGAAAGAATAATGCTGCAATACAAATGAAAACGTTAGATCTTTTAGAGCAGTGAAATCAATTTACCATGTTAATCTGGCAACTGGCAAGCATGGTTTCTCAGCTGAGTTCTTCTGACTGCTGATACATTTCTTGCATACTAAGTAGAGTGGAAGGAGACTTCTTATAAAAAGAATAGCTTTTTACTTTGCTTACCCCATGAGAGCTTCAAATAGTACTTGTATTTTTGTGTATGTAGCATTACAACATAATCTGTGTGCAAATACCATGAAAAATCATTAGTACTTTATAAGGTGAAAGCTAATTTCATTATTTGTAATTGTATGAATTTAATTTCAATCCTAAAGGCATTCATTCAAAAGAAAATATGTATCGAACATATATAAACTCCTACCTACTTGCAAACTATTAGTATTTTCAGTAAATATATCCATCTGCAAAGTTCCATCATCAGTAAACATCCATCATTTTTGAGGACTGAAGTTATGCGCATAAGTGTTTGTAGGATCCAAGGCCAGAGGAGAAACACCATTATCAACTCCAGTCACATATTACTCACTAGTGTGCCTAAAGTGGGGTTGGGCCATGAATACAAAAGCTGCCCAACGTTTTTAGTTAAAGCATTGCTTTTAGTTGCAAGTGTCTTTCAAGGTAGTTTGGGAAGACAATTCCATGACTGATGCTTATCTGATTAAAAGCTTCAGAAAGTCTCGGTAAAACCCATTTTGCAGTTTCAGAAAACAAACTGGTGCAGGAAAAAAAGGTTATTTTTGACATTCTATGCTAGGAAAACTTCTAGAAACACCTATTTGAGAAAATTACTCCTGCCTTGTGCGTTAAAAGCTCAAAATTGCACAAAGTGTCAAAATTGTGCCTTTCATTGCACCTATGAGAATTTGTTTACCTCTGGACATGTCTTTAACTTCAGGAAAAAACTCAAACATCTCATTTTGAATACGTCCAAAGGCTTTCAAATGCCTGAAAAGTCATTGAACATGCAGTCTCTCATTTTATAAGGCTGACCTATGTGTGCATATGCCATTCCCAAACATGAATTAAGCTTGTTCAGAGACTTACCATAAGTCTCCCACATTCCATTCCCATATGCCATGGGCTAGGCACTAAGATGCAGAGAAAAGCACTTTCTAGTGCCTTTAGCAAATCTTCAGGGCTCTCAGATACTATGGGATAGCAAACTGGATCTCCAAGTGGAGAGGAAGAGTGATTCATGAAAGTTAGGGAAGGCAGCTAGGAGCCTGGCAAATATGAGAGTGCTGGAGAAGGCAGGGAAGAAATAGGACATCTCTGTGTCCTACATGCACAGAGACTGGGAGATGAGGTGCAGTACAAGGGAGTCTGGGACTGATTTAGCATGGGTGTGGCAATGGGCTGTGGAAGCATTGACTCAAAAGAATTAACAGCCTACTAGTGGAGGTGGTAGGGGGAAAATCAGCAAAATCTAAAAAGAAGATGAGCATACGCAGATGTACAATGGACTGCATAAAGAGGAAAAACTGGGAAAGGTTATCTAAAGAAGCCAAAACAAGTGATGAGAAGAGAACACAGGTCACTAAAGGCCACTAGCAACAGTAGTTACATATTTAAAATTACTGAAGATTATCTATACATTTATGTGCGCATGAAACCCAATGAGATTGGTTAAGAACAGGGACAGATGGCAAAAAAGAACTGGCTGGGAAGCAGTGGGTTTTTACAGCCTGTAAATAGACTTTGTGCTTATGTAAAATGATCTAGCCTTTGATTCAGGAGTCGTACACAAGAAAATAACACATGATCACAAAATTATTCAAAGCCCATGAGGATCTGGGGTGAATCAGAATCTTTTAAAAACCCCCATACATTTATCAATTAACTCACAGTATTTTTCCAGGGAAATCAGAAGTGAATGAAGCAAGAACCCCCAGGATATTAAAGGACAAAATGCATACTAAGATATTGAAGGTGTGCATAGAGGATTGCATTCTCTGCATTTGCCACCAGAGATGCATTGCTCCTCTTGCAGTTTTGAGGAAATACGTTAAGTCTGTCCTGAGCAGCCTATGGATTTTGTATTTCCCAGGTCTCCAACCCAACCCTCTAGGCTTAGAAGTACAGAGGGCTGGCAATTTACAGCTAACGGTAAAAAGAATATATTAGTATCAATACTGAATTATATTTTGCTGAAATAATACAACATGCAAAGTATTGTAAAAAACAGATTAGGCACTCAAGAGTAGGCAATTCTGTGAAATGAGGAAATACCTTATCACCCCTAATATTCACACACGCCACTAAAATTAATGTTTCTGAAAAAGACACATTGGTCTGTCATGCACTATTGAAGCCTAAGGGATCATAAAGTTTAAAAATAATTTCATTAATGTTTAACAATATTAAACATAGAACAAAACAATGAAGGAAGAAGAAACAAATTTTCTTCATTTTTGAATGCTTAGTTTTGCAGTCATAGTATTTTTTTCTTACGTAACAGTTTCAGGGTGGATTTGCTTAGATCAGAAGTCACTTGTAACATACTAAAACTTAGACACTGAAGTCTAAGCAAAAAGGAATGCAAATGAAATTTGCCTCTCAAAATCAAAGACTCAGAGAAAAACTGTAGAGCAAAATAAAAGCACTTTATCTGCTTAAATCTACACAGCAACTTTAACTTCTAGATCTAAAATAACTTAAAGAAAATACTCATCTGAAGCAATCAGTACAACAGAAAAGTTATGAGATGGCTTGTAATTTCATATGGGCTGTTGAAATTCAAAAGCAATAAGACTGGCTTGTCATCAGACCTTTGAATTTGCAGGAAGGTAACTACCTATTCATGTTACACAATAGCACATTACATATAAAACACATCACATCATATTTCCACAACTAATCTATTAACAAGCCTCCAGTGCAGTTTTATGGAGAAACGTCTTGCTGTCACTGTCAACAAATGCGTTAGTACTACATGATACAGTGATCAAGACGGAACAAAAATCCAAAACCTATATAATAAATATAATTTTAAACTGACAAAATATGCAAAGGTGCCCATGACAGTTATTTGGACCAACATAAACACAATCGTAGACAGGAACAGAACTTATCACTTGTAGGTTCTGTGCATACATTAAAAAATTCCTCCAGTTAGAAGGTCTCTGTAATATACGTAGACCTTGGCAGATAAGTGTCCTTTAAATTTGTTCCCCTTTAAATTTGTTCCCCTCACCTATTTCACATTCTGAATTATAAAGATGCAAGCAAAAAAAATCTACCTTTTCAACGACACATTTGACCCACTCTGGAACAGCTTCTAAGTTCACATCACACACTGCAAGGCTCCTGAGCAGCAGCTGAAGTTCATGATGTCTGCTAAAAAAATAATTATTGTATTGATATTCAAGTTTCATGTACAATTTTTGTTTGATAAAATCAGAAGTCAGCTTGCTAAATTCAGTAAATATTTTATTAACAAATGATAAAACTCAAAGATGTTGGTGCATTTTTTAAGCTAAGAACCAAGTAGATGCCTTCAATAATTCTCTATTTCTAAATCTAAGACAGACTCCACTGTGGAGACAGAGGTGTTTGGAGGTTGTTTTATTTTGTTTACAAGAACAGGAAGTATGCAATTGCTGATCTTCCAACTATATTTGGAAATTAATTTCAGAAGCACTATCAGGTGGCACAATTTTCTAGTAAAGAAACGAAAATTTAAGTCCTAGTTTACATGAAGACTGTGATCAGTACTGCACAAGCATGACACAAATATTTTAAACTGATTTCCTAACCCTTGTTAGAATAACTAGCAGAGAAAGCAAGGACTCTAAGCAACGTTTGAGTTTTTATTAAAAGGATGTAACCAACCCAAGAGTAAACAAAATCTAAAGAACTGTAGGATTTCACTAACCAATACTAAAAAAACAACAACTACCTAGCATGGAAGTGATACAAGCGTAATCAAATCTTTTAATATGTTTTAGTGTCAGCAGAATCATAAAGATGGAAGATGGATTAAAATCTAAGTAAATTCTGGTGAGTGTTAAAGTCTTAAAATCAGCTATTAAAATTTATGAATATGGAAATTACATTATAAAACTCATGGGAATAAAAGCTTCATTATGCTGAAAATTGAAAGTGGGGCTATACACAAAAGACAGAAGCTTTTAGAAATTCTCTAAGTAATGACAGCAGACAGATCCGTTTGCCATGTCTATACTATCATCTTCCTCCTACCTGTGGAGAGTACTTGTACTTCAGCTGGGATATAATTCTGTTTTACAATGTTTGTACTACATTTGTAAGCTCAACATTTGATTTTAATATTTGTTCTAAGATTTTTCTCTTCAACTCATATTTCAGCTATGTCTTTTACTGAAGGTCTAATATTCATCACGGAAAGCTGACATACTGAAGACATTATTCTCTCTTCGTTAAGGTCACCACTAACATTTAGTGGTATTGTCAGGGCTAGGACAAAGGTCGGATTTGCTGATCTGGAAGGTCTCTTCCAACCAAAACTGTTCTATGATTTTGTGATTCTAAGATGACCAAGCAAAAGATCAAGGCAGAGATACTTACAGAAAAGGCAGAATTTACACTGGAAACCTGTCTTGTTCATGACAAAAATGTGATGAGTCAAATGTCTTGATTTAAGCAAAATCTGTCTCAAGTTTTTATTAACCTTGCTACGTCAGTACTGCTACTTTCTGTACCAGACTCAAAAGTGGAATGTATAAAAATGGTGTTCTCTACTAATTATCTTTTTAAAAAAGTAAAGGTAGGCTCTGAAAGATTTTTCAAGCATTGTATACCCCTTTGCTGTGATGAATGCAGCATTAGACTTCACAGTGTATTGAAAGAATGAGAATGACTAGCAGTTAGGAATTTGTTTTTATCACTCAAACACCTTAAGCTGTTCTAATTAATTTGTTTTTCACAATTTCATAACACATTTCTAGAATGAATTTAATCTAACAACAGCTCAGTGAGAACCTCAAATTAAAGATCAGCCAGGAAGGACTGGAAGAATTTTTGCATAAGGCTGGCTCAGACACGCTTTTCACATACAGCCATACCTCCACCTACTAAATATATTCTTGAAATATACTACAGCTACTGAAATACATCTTGCACACTTTATCTGCAGATCTGTGTATTCATGTGGTATATGTTTCTCTGTACACATTCTATTCCCCTTATGCTAATTTTTATAGGAAAAGCTGGTTTGCTATCTGTTGAACAGCTGCTTCACTTGAGACTGACGCTGCCTACTGGAGCAGGTTATAAAACAATTGGTAATAAACCTTGGAACCAACAGATAAAGGACTGATGAACAAATGCACTTGTTGTATTTAAAACAGAAGGTTCAAGTCGTGCGAACAGAGACTGCCTAAGGATCACTGGCATTTGAAGTGATGTAAACATCCTCCTCATCTAAACAACACCTACCAAGCAAGCACTGTTCTACTGCAAAATAAAAAACCTTTTTGATTTATACATTTTAGAAGTTTCTTCTTAATTCTGCATGTACCTGTCACATAAAAACACATTTTCATGTGAGCAATAAATGTGTACTATATAATATATGCAAATAACCCACACAGTACAGGTTGGATTTTGTGTATTTTGAAGATGGTGACAGGACTGGAGCACCTCCTCCCTTGAGGACAGGCTGAGAGAACTGGGACTGTTCAGCCTGGAGAAGGCTCCAAGGGAGACTGCATAGTGGCCTTCCAGTACTTAAAGGAGGCTTAAAGGTGAAATGGAAAGGGACTCTTTATCAGGGAGTGCAGTGAAAAGATAACGGCTAACAGTTTCAACTTGAAAGGGAGGAAATTTAGATTAGATATTAGGAAGAAATTCTGTGAGGGTAGTGAGACACTGGAACAGGTTGCCCAGAGGAGGTGTGGAAGCTTCCTGTGGTTCTGTCATGATTCTGCATGCATGTGCCTTTTACAGCATTACAGAGGACAAAAGAAACAGTACAAATGCACAGCAATATATTGCAGAGGTTTCTACATCTATCACGTTAAAAAACAGCAAATGAGATGTTTCTGATCCGTCACATAAGCATTCATTTTTACTTTTATTTTGCATGTAACTTCAACCAGAACTCAAATAAAAGCATACATATACAGGATTTTGAAGATATTTTTTATAAGTTAAATGCAGTTTAACTGTAGTGTTCTGGACATATTTTAATAAGTTTTTATTTGTCTTATTTTGCGTCTTCAACTATTAAAAGGCATCTTTTGATAGTGTAACCCTAAATGCGCCTTTTCAGCTTGGCACTGGGCCACGTTTGTTGTGGCTGTACTGCTTTCAGACCAGTTATGTTGCGTGAGCTCATGTTTGCCTCTAAAACAGCATGTACACATACCACAGTGTCAAAACGCCTATGCTTCTCCATGGTTCTCGTTTTATGTCTCTCTATTTTTTTTTCTATTATTCAGTCCCAGAAATGCCAGAAGCAGAGAGTCCTAGGACTTCCTTCCAAAGTCAAACTCTCAGTTCCCTTTCTTGAAAACCTAACTTTCTATTACAGATCTGAGGCAAAGATTTCACAGCCTTCAGCCTTCTCAAACTACTTAATTATCTTCTTATCTTCTATTACTTTAACTTTTACCCTAACATCTAACCTGATTTTTCTTGCAATTTTCCTTATTCGCTGTGAATGCTGAGAACAAAAAGGCTCATCTTCTTCCACGAAGACACTATACAATTTTAAACACTTATTATATATTAGATCTCCTTCAAACTTGTCTTTGGGCTAAATAAACTCAGTTCCTTCCCTCTTTCCTCACAGATTAAGAAAGAAGATCTCCAGCTGCCACTGCTACTTTGTGAAGTCTTTCAAATGCATTAGCTATTCATGCACAGCAGTGCTCAAATGTGCATGCAAATATCAAGATGAAGTTTTACCAGCACTGAGTAGATTAGACAGATTATATAAATTTTGAAGGGAAAAAAAAGAATGGAGAATGTCTTAAGAAGGTAGAAGCTAACACTAAATTCACTAGATCCATTTGAAAATGTTGTTTCCTACATTTATAAAGGCAAGAAACACTGTAAGATCATATAACAACTCTCCAGCAGCAAACAATTTTTAAGTAATCTCAGATTTTCAGATTCACACATGCTTAACAATGTTAATGGAAGAGGAAGCAGGAATTGTATTTTTCCCCTCCTCCCACTCCGGAAAATATAAGAGCAGCACCATTGAAAGCTAGTGGAATTATTCACAAAGAAAACAACAAAAAATAGGTAAAGGATCAAACAGCAGGCATAGCAGCCAGAGAAATGACACAGAGCTGATCAGCTTCCTGTTTATTCATCACTTCTTGAACCGGACACTCTCCATTCTGATATCCTCTCACCAGCAGGAAGTCCCCTTCGGTATTTGTATCTGGTTTTCACACAATCCAAATTGCACAAAGTATTCAGCTTTGGACATTTCTTCTTCAAAAAGATTGCTAGAAAACACGAAGAAAAAAATCTCAAATGTTCAAAGTGAAGAACTAAACAAGAAAACCTAAATTTCTGTGAAAACCTGTTCTAGAATGTCAAGTAGCTTACCTCTCACTCAAATGCATAAAAATAAGAAAGTAAGTGCAGAAGGACAAGTGGTTCTCAATTACTTTTTTGTTCGAAAGTCACCTGTGATCCCTTCAGAACACTGCAGCCATGAATATTACAATATTAATTAGGTTGCAGCAAGAAATTAGGACAGAGAAACTTGAGCGTTAGCTTCTGGGCATCTTGAAAAAGTATTAGATGAGTGGCACCTTTGAAGAAGGATGACAGAGAAAAACTAGATGAGCTGTCCTAGCCAACAAGTATCCATACCAGAAGTTCCTGTTCCAAGAAAGGGTGGAACTGACATTTCACTGGTTAGAAAAACAGTCACAGAAGGCACTCAGGTAAACACAAAAACTTGCTGCCAGCTTCTGATCTCCAAAGTATTTCTACTTAAAGAGACACTTTTAAAAGCATACATAACCAGTGCTTCTTCATAAAGTACTGCTTGGATGGGAAGACAGAAAAGAAAGTTTAAAGAACTGCCTTCAGGCTGCCAGAGGAGCAAAGCAACAAGATGCTTGAAGAGCCAGCTGCTCCTGTGGCAGATCATGCTTGATTGTGAACTGTCGTACCAGTTCAGCTGTTGCTGTGTGATCAGCTTCCCTGTCACACAGCCCTGGCTGATGAGAGAGGGTGGCCTGTGATCCTCCTCATCTTGTAGCCAGCATAGCCCACCTAATTGAAAGGCCGTTAACACAAAAATTGGAAAGAATGTTACTTGCAATGTATTACTTAACCTGCTAAGAAATCCTACTGCATGCTGATGAAGTCAGCAGGTCAACCAGATAAAGCAAGGCAACGGACTAACAGGCCAACCCACGGGACACACGGCCCGGCGCGTTCTCTCTTGATCCGCCGCGACCCCGCAGACCAGCGCTGCCCCCTTCACCCTCTGCACAAAAGGAAGGGCTGAGCAAGCGGGAATGCGCTGCCCACGCCCCAGGGTCACGCCAGCTCCTGACCCCACCCCCCGCAGCACCACAGCCGCG